CTAGTGCCAGTCCGCCAGGGGGCTCTTGGCTCTCAGCGGCCCCTCCGCCCCCTTTGCGACCGGGGGCCAGTGGGGCAGGTGGATTCCAGTTAGCACTGGGCCTCCTGCTGACAGGTGGCACAGCCTATGACATGAACATGGGGGTCAGTGGAGATCACCCACAGGTCTCGTCTACCTGCGCACAGCCGCAGGGCTCAAAGCCAGACCTGAGCGCAGAACAACTGGCGGCGATTCATAATCAGGCCGGCACGAGAAGGACAGCTCGTGACTCTCAAATTAAACCAGGTCTAAAAATCTACAGCCAGATGAACTGCTGCTCTTGTGTTACAGCCAGGCCTAGACTCAGCTCACTGCTTTCTTTGATCCCTGGAGCCTCCCAAGTTCTCCACGGGACGTGTTCCAAGATGGACAGACAAGATTCGATGTTACTTAAGATTTCAACAGCCATCAACTGGCAGTCAGAAGTTTAATACTTCATACAGTTTTGAAGTTAAACATGTAACTTTACGGTACAATTGTAATTACTTGTTTTCACAAATAATTGTGAATAACCCATCAAATTGCCTGTAACATAACCATCTAATCCCGGCTTGAATACAGAACAGATCTGAGCTCTGGACACACTAGACATCACGCCTGCAGTTCCAGAGTAAATGTGTTCCTCCCGACAGGATCCGAACCAGAGACGGCACCTCTGCTTCGGGTTTAAGAGAGGAGTGCTGTTCCCCCCTGTGTTGGCCACCCAAGACACTGACAGCCTTAAATGGGCAAAGCTTTAAGGGGATACAAAACCATTAAGACTGCATACCTTCCTGTCGAACCCGGAGCCACGACTACACCGCGATGGCCGGAGGACAGCATCGCCCGTCAGGGGGCTGCAATTGAAAAGACAACCTGTCAATCAGCCAGTCTCACTCTCATACACAGCACCTTTCAACACAGGGCCCTGGTGAGGCTTGTCGAGACGCGTCCACAGTCACAACCGCGAACCAGCGGGGGACCGTTCCATTGCGGCATTCAGAAACAAAAGACGAACATGGTGCATCGATCCAGTTTAAAAAAATAAGCCTCCCACAGAGAACTACTACAGCATACAAAGCAAGCACCATTGCTATGTGCACGCCAGCACTAGAATAAGAAAACGCCTGGTGTGTCCTGACGGTACTCGTGAGACCGCGCGTGTGAATCTCACCGTCTCCAGTGTCACCCCTGCGTGCCCGCTCTGCGGTCCACCAGTGCAACGCCTCCAGGTCATCACTTCGACTGGGACAGTATCGACATCGGAGCTCTGACACTCAGC